TTCTGTTTCACAAACACTTTTGTCTGATCTTTCGATGACGCTCTCTGTCTTTCTTGGCCTCACGTTCACCCAAAGATCTGGCCAGGTAAGGTTAAGCAAGGTGAGTCTCGGCAGGTTCTCGAAGGTCCTTTGTGATGATTGTGAAGTTCATTCAAATGCATTTTTGTTTATGGGTCTTAATCATTTAACACTGATATACAGTAAACAGAGAAATCTGACTTTAAATTACCCATATTGTTAGAGTTTGAACAATATGTTTGTGATTCTTTTGGTTGTAGTAACTGGAATTCTATCGCTAATAGGGATGTAACGATTCACTCAACTCAACTCACGATTCGATTCACGATTTAGATTTCTCGATTCGATTCACGGTTTATTTTATTTTTTTAACAAAATGAGATTTAAGACAAATTATAAATGTGTCCTTTTATTATTGCTTGGACAAAATGCTGCACATTTCTTTGTCAAATTGAAATATAACACTATATACTAAAATATAACAATAATATACTAATATAGCGCTAGCATATTATTGCTCTTTTGTTGGTTTTGATTGCTTCTATTGTCCTCATTTGTAAGTCGCTTTGGATAAAAGCGTTTGCTAAATGACAAAATTTAAATATAATGTAAATGTAAATAACAAAACTAAATTGAAATTTTAAAACAAGCCCCAAATCAAATAAATAAGTAACACAAATAAAATAAATCTCTTCATATAAACAAAATAAGGCTTTGTCTGTGTTCTTTCCATTTAAAATTAGAGGCAACCACTGCATTTTAATCACGATCCAAACAAAGATGCTGCATACATGCAACATGAGCTGTTTTTAATCTAAATTAGGTTGTATAATTTCGAAATTTGAAACTAAAACAGAATGGTTTGACTTCAGTTTTGTGAAACTATACATAAAAAATATCTGCATGAAACAGAAACAGCAGACGAGCTGAATGAGACGCAGATTCACTCTCTGCCAGCAGGTGGCGCTTAAAGCATTTCCTTGGTTTCTGCTGTAAACAAAGCAGCGCTGCACTTATGAACGTTAATATGCATTATAAAGAGGCAAGATGAAAAGAAAAAAATACCATCTGAACTTTTCTAAAGACAGTAAGTTCCCCTCAGACATACATTCATATAAACTCCTACCCCTAAATGAATCGCGATTTGTTTAGCATCTCAACCGATTTGAATTGTCACATATTTGAATCGATTTTCAACCGGCTCGCGGTTAATCGTTACGTCCCTAATCGCTAACATCATGAAAAATATTTACGATATATTAGACAAAATCCTTTCAAAATACTGAAAATACTTTCAAAATAAGAAGTGGCATCTGGTGAAACCTGCTTTTCTGTCAGATTTTCTGTTATTTTCACAAAACTTGTAATTATTAATTTAAGCAGGTGAGAATATTTAAATTATGTGGACAGAAACATGCAAAATGTTTTCATGATGCATCACAATGAATATTCATTGGGCGTGGCCAAAAATATTGAATGCATAGGGCTAAAAATGATAAATGCTTGTATTAATTTAGATTTAATTTAGATTTTGTTTAGAGCATCCCCATCGCATCCAGGGATATTGATACATTTTGACGGCTGTATGCTTCCAGACTTCTGCATGATTGTTGTGCTGTTGTTCGTGCCCTTTTGCATTTCTCCATGAGAACTCAGTATTCAGTACATAGAGGGTGGATGTGGAACGCTTGATATATGATACATAATCAAAGATTCTGTTGGATTTACTGTTGGAAGTAACATTTTCTTTTTAAAAATCTTTTGGTTGAAACATGGCTGAAATTTAAGAGGCATCCCAATTCAAAATTGCTTTTGTGGTGGTTTGCTGGAAACCTGCTGTTGTGTAAATCTCAAAGATAGTCATTAGCAGCGATGGTGAGTTTCCATATTGTTCCTGGCTTCTTCGCGTTCTTGGTAATGACTGGTTTGGGTTTGCTCTCTTCCCCTCTGCACCAGTGGCCTTTGAGACCTTTTCAGAAGGGCCCCCTCTGGGGCCAATTATCCAGTGTTTGTGACTCAAATGTTAGTTCATTCATTCATTTACAATCGGATTTTGCTTCTTGTGGTTAAAAAAACATCCAGCCTTTCATGCATCAGGACCTTTGCAGACATTGATTCCCAGTGTCTTTCAAAAAGCACTTGAATAATGTGTCTCTGTTGAAGGAAACCTGTGTTCTGTTTGCCTCGCATCAGTTTCCGGTACCCAGTTCCATTGAGAAGACTATCTCAGTAGCTGTTTATGAGAAGCATTTATTAATATCACAGATTTAAGTTAAGCTTTTAAAAGCTCACATTACAGGCTCAGGGCTTCTCAGACACCAATTGTAATGATTAATAAATGATAAATTATCGTCTGGCCATCTGAGATTTCGGTATGGAGATAAAGGTTAGAGTCATTAATTTAATTTTATTGGTATTCCAGCACACCGTGAGTGTATATTAGCACCGGGTGCTGTTGGCTTTTTGCATCTGATAGAGCGCTCGGATCCAGAAACAGTGACACCTGAGACTTAACAAGCATATTGATGGAGACCTTCTGCAATGGTCCAAAGCGAGTTAAATTGCATTCAAACTACACATTTGATCAGTTCTTGCTTTCCCTGGCAATCAAACCCATGACCTTGGTGTTGCTATCGAAGGCTGGTTAAACTAGTAGCAGCTTACATTTCATAAATTGTTGCCCATGTACTCAAGTAAAAATGTAATTTCTTGTTATGCTTTCTGATTTTGCTGTACGGTGAGGGTGGTTAAGGTCAATGTTATTTTCATATGACATACTATTATAGTAACTATTTATATACTTGATAAACAAATTAAATGAAACAAATTTCTGCTTTATTTCAATTAATGAAAACTGTTTTTAATTGTTTTAACATTTGTTTTAGTTAACAATAACACAGGTTAAGGCCTATCATAAACAATACACAGTCGACTCATATTTTCTATCTCTATTAATCGTGATTAATCGCATTCAAAATAAAAGTTTTTGTTTACATAATATGTGTGTACTGTGTATAGCCTATTTATTATATACATATAAATACACACACATGCATGTGTATATAGTTAAGAAAAATGTCAAATATATTTATATATGATATAAATTGTATGAATATAAATATACATGTAAATATTTTCAAAATATATGCTGTATGTGTGTGTATTTATATATACATAATACATTTACACAATACACACACACATATATTATGTAAACAAAACTTTTATTTTGGATGCGATTAATCACAATTAATAATTTGACAGCACTAATATTTTCATATTCTGTCCAGTGGTTAGTTCATAGCACTTACAGAAATTAATATTTCCATTTTATTTCTATAGCCATTTTTACCTTTTTTTTATTTATGAATCGCGATTCTGTCTTCTAACGATTCTAATGGATTCACAAGTTTCACAATCAAAAATTCTAAAGCAGCGGTTCTTAATACTGTTCCTTGCATCCCCTGCTCTGCACACGCTCTGCATCTCTCTCTCTCATGATCATCAGCTCGACAGCTCCAATAAACTGTGTTCCAATTATACACTTTATTGGTGTAGACAGAAAAATATTTTTCACATAGCTATGAGAAGCGTTAAACATGGACGCGAATGTGGTTGCCGTGCTGTATTACAGCTTTAATCAGGATAAAACCGTATATTAAAAGCTAGCATAAGCAGTATCTTTTACACATAACAGCGTATCTCAAAGTATGAGACAACAACAAACAAAACACATGTTATTAAGAGCCATGTGCTTGCACAGGTTCTGCGCGATCCTCTTCACTAATATCCTCGGCGTCTCATTCGGGCTCAAATTGATAAGCAATATTGACGACGCCATTGTTTACAATACAACCGGAGGAGAGAGCGGGAGGTTGCCGCTTGGGCGTGACGTTTAGACGTGCACTAGAGGTGGTTTAGCCAATCACAACACACTGGGCTAGCTAACCAATCAGAGTCCATTGCGTATTTCTGAGGGAGGGGCTTCATAAAAATAGGAAATCATCAGCGCGTTTAAAGGAGAAGGGACAGAGCGGTGTAGAAAAAAGGTAAATTATGTGAAAAATTATGCGTTTTTTTTAAAAACGAAGCATTAACACGTGTTAAACTGTTCCCCATAAACACAATCAAGCCTAGAAAACACCAGTCAACCACCACTTTAATACATCCGTGCTGAATAAAAGTTTGTAAATAATTACAAAAAATACTTGTTAAAAAAAAAACGTAACTTTTTGAACAGTAACGTATATGTGTGTGGCCATGTAGTGTATAAATCCTTGGCATTACAATATTCACTGCCTGAGCGTTGAGTAAGTGCAAATCCAGAAATATTTGTCTTTGGTTTAGCTTTTGTGTGTTCACGTCATTAAGTGTTTTATCATAGGCATTATCTCTTGTGCTACCTCTCAAGGTGTAAGTTAGAGAAAGAGTAACACGTACTTTATCAGTTTGTCCACGACGATAAAAGGCCATATTGCGCTGTCATTATTTTTCCTCTTCCACAGAGAGCATTTGTTATGCTAAAAGACGAAAATACTGTGTAACATTTACAAGGACTGCAAGTGGAGTATCTGCATGTCTTTTTGTTCCTTGAAGATTGTTTGAGTTTATTCAATACTTAATAACAACATGCTTCCCGGCTTTATTATTAGCTTATTTTTGGCAACTGAATAGTTGTCCTAAATTGACCTCAAATTACTTTTTCATTAAATTTCATTTAATGCATGATTGCTTTTTGTAAATATTTTGTTTTTAACAAATGGAATGTCATAAGAGTATATTAAATTGTTCTCAATTTGTATTTTGATATCATGGTTCTTAATTTCAAATTTAAAATGTATTAATTTCCTCATCAGATGTAGGTTTTTGTAAACACGGCTTTTTAAGAAAAGTATGATTTCCTCCCCCCTCTTTCTTCAGAGAGTTATTATAGGATATGTTTTCAACATTTTGATTCCTAATCCTCAGTATGACCTTGAGATATGACATTGTTAGACCTCAAAGTCAGATCTGTGGTTTCTATCCTGTGCTGTGACAGCTCCAGCACAAACTCTGCACTCTCAATGCTGTAATTCAAGCATCTCATCTGTGATCAGTAGTTGAAACCTCTGTCCTGTCCTCTGTTCTCAGTGCTTGGCTGCAGACACTCTGGCAGCGTATGGGATGAGCGAACAGTCCCGTATAGATGAACGAGGCCTGCAGGAAATCTGCCCTACCATGATACAGCAGCTGGACTCACAAGTGTGCAAGACCCAACAGGACCAAGAGTCAGAGACCAGCCCCAGACCCACTGACGCTGAGGGTAAGATCAACTATCCATTGATAGTCAATGCATAATATTAGTCATGATGCTATTGTCATTATACACTGCATGGCCAAAAGTATATGTACACCCCTATTTGACTATTTCAGCTATACTTCAAATCAATCCTACAGGTGTGCGAACCTTAAACAAACATTTAAAGAAGATTTATGTACATTTATGCACAATTCCCACATGCAAAAAACAAAAGGGCCATAAAGGCTTGGTTCTCCAAACCCGAACCTCGTTGAACAATCAAGCCATGGTTTAAAAATTAATTGGTCAACAATCAAATATGGGTGTGACGTATTTTGGCCTTGTGTCAAGGTTAATTTGTTTGCTTCCAATTGCTTAGCACTGTTTCTGCTGAGATGTGCTTACAGTGTAAATGCAATGACACTTATTAACAGTTCTTGTTATATTCTCTTCAAACTGTCATGTGTTGCACGTCCACAGGTAATGCCATCCGTTAAACTTTATCAATGTAGATAAAGTACAATGTCTTGGCATATTTATAGCAGACTAGTTTGGTTCATATCTATTGTACACTGTAGGCAATCTTTGACTTTGCCAGCAAATTAGGCTTCAAGAATCAGCAGAACTGAAAGAGTGCAGGTGTTCTCTGCCTTGATCTCCAGTTAAAGCGTGATGAGAATAGTCAACACTAAACACTGAAAAATTTAGAAACGTCATTGAAATGGAAAACACATTATTGAAGCAAGTGACATTCATTTATGTATTCGTTTATTTTGAAAGAGGGCACAAGCACATAAAATAATAGCCATATCAGAAGTCAGAAAGGGCTTTATTACCAAGTATGTTTACACACACAAGGAATTTGACTTGACGATAGGAGCTTCCAGTGCAGAAGAAAGTACGGACATAGTGCAAACATGCATGGGAATGACACAGTAGAGATGAAATATAACAGTAAAATAAGAAAAACAGAAAATTAAATAATGCACTATATACAGAATTAAATTAATAGAAAATGTAATTGTTTAAATAATTGTACAGGTATGTGCAGTTTACAAATGTACAAATTTCAAATTTACAATGTACAAATTTTATAGTACAAATGTATATAAAATACTATATACTACCATTCAAAAGTTTGGGCTTGGTATGATTTTTTTAAATGTGATAGCCTCTTATGCTTACTAAGGCTGCATTTATTTAATCAAAAATACAGTAAAAGAGTAATATTGTGCAATTTCTATTTTAATATATTTTAAATTGTAATATTCCTGAATTTTCAGCATAATTACTCCAGTCTTCAGTGTCACACGATCCTTCAGAAATCATTCTAATATGCTGATTTGCTGCTCAAGAAACATTTCTGATTATTATCAATGTTGAAAATAATTGTGCTGCTTTATATTTGTGTGGAAACCATGATGCATTTTATTCTATATTTCTTACTAACCCCAAACTTTTGAACAGTGGTGCACTTGGAAAAATTATTGAACCCCTTTAGATAGTTAAACGTTATTGGATCATGTTCATAGTTAATGTTATGAAATACTGTTGTAGTTACTCTTCTAGGACTATACATCCTTAAAAATCAACAGTTGATAGTCTAGCAAAAATGGCTCCAAATCGTGACGTTAGACTGAGAAGAGCTCTAGAGAGTCATGTTTGAAGATATGCCTATTGCCTAGGTGTGATACTTTAATACACATCTAATTGTGTGTATATAGGCATAGATAGAACTCGGGCAAACACTTGAAAGAATCTTTCATATCAGAATAAGACATCTTGACTTGTAAAATGCCTAAGCTTGTATATATCAGATCCCGGCAACATCTGGATTCAATCACTGTACTCTGGTCAGACGGGAGATTTGAAGGGAGGCTGTGTGCTTTCAGAAGCTGAACTGAAATAACCCTCGTGTAGGCCACAGACATAAAAAGGCAAGACGGGGAGAGTTCAGACAACTTCATGGGCGTGTGTGAAGGAGAGAAAGTCATGGATTCGGAGAACCGGAAACAATTTCACATGCACTGTATAATCTGTGATTTGTTATTTTTACGAACTATTCAAATCTGTGCAGTTTTTTTTTTGTATTCACTATAACCTAAAACAAACCCTGTCTATAACAGATTATTTTAGATTTTATTTTATTCATTGAAATTCTTGTTTTGAATCAGCTTGCGACTCTTTGTGGCTCAACATCTGTGCACCATGTTTTCTGGCACAGGGATTTTTCCTGTCTCTTTGCATCATGCTGTGCTTTATCTGCTAAACAAGCCACTTCTGGGTTTTGGCATTTCTTGCGCATCCTGGCAGCGGGAGAGGAAATTAATGGAGAATGACGCAGTGACGCTTCCCACCGCAATTCAACAGATAAGGAGAGAGAAAAGGGGAATGTGTGCTTTTAGAGATGGAGTCTTACAGCATCCTGTTCTCAGTGCAGTCTATCCCATTCAGTCTTAACAAATTGTAATGTGATGGTAATGTGAACGTGAAATAATCACGAAAGAGGAGGGAATAGGATTTAGGACAGGTTGCAGGCCAGACCCAAACCAGCATCATTTGGATAAACACCACAGCTCATTGTCTCTATAGCATATCTCACAACTTCAACAAGATTGCAATTCTTTTTTTAGCTTCTGTCCCAACTTTAATTGGGAGTCTTTGTTGTACTGTACTTTCAATACAGTACTTAAAAATTAAATAAAAGGAACAAATGCATGAAAAATTACATTATAGCAGAAGTTGAAATGTATTTTGTTCCTTAGAAAAGCCCAATCATTCAATGTTTTTACAAGGACAGTTCACCCCAAAAATGAAAATTATGTGATCATCTCACCCTCACATTCTTCCAAACCTGTATGATTTACTTTCTTCTGTCGAACATATATGTGACCCTGGAGCACAAAAGCAGTCTCAAGTCGCTGGGGTATATTTGTAGCAATAGCCAAAAAAACATTGTATGGGTCAAAAGTATCGATTTTTCTTTTATGCCAAAAATCATTAGGATATTAAGTAAAGATCATGTTCCATGAAGATATTTTGTAAATTTCCTACTGTAAATATATTAAAACTTAATTTTTGATTAGTAATATGCATTGCTAAGAACTTCATTTGGACAACTTTAAAGGTGATTTTCTCAGTATTTAGATTTTTTTGCACCCTCAGATTCCAGATTTTCAAATAGTTGTATCTCGGCCAAATATTGTCCTCCTATCCTAACAAACCATACATCAATGGAAAGCTTATTTATTCATCTTTCAGATGATGTATAAATCTAAATTTTAAAAAAAATTGACCCTTATGACTGGTTTTGTGGTCCAGGGTCACATTTATTAGTATTATTATCATTATTCAAGCTTTTATTTTTCTGTAAAACTGCAAGGAGACCTTTAAGTTTCTGTGATGACAGGTTTATACATGCTTTTCATTACAAATCTAGTGATTTGCTGTAATCATCCCTCCACAAAAATGTTGACAATTATGTAAATGTGAAAATAAAAGGTAACTAGTGCATGTCACATTAGCCTGATTAGCACACTAAGCAAAACACAATGTTAGAGAGCTTTTATGTTCTTATGAGAAGTGTAAATATATTTCCAGATTATAATGAAACTGTGGCAGGACAGATTAGACGGCCACCACAGTCCAGGTCATTAATGGGAAACACTGTTGACATGAGGATGAGTAAATAATGATAGAATGTTCATATTTTGGAATGAACTATTCCTTTAAATAACTTTGAAAATGGCCTCACTGAGTGTGTTAACATGCCCAATCTTACACCGATTACGATTAAGGTCATTTAAATGCTTAAACAGCATACTTTATCGGGAAATAATGAAATAATGATAGAATGTTAATATTTTGGAATGAACTATTCCTTTAAATAACTTTGAAAATGGCCTCACTGAGTGTGTTAACATGCCCAATCTTACACCGATTACGATTAAGGTCATTTAAATGCTTAAACAGCATACTTTATCGGGTTACAGTTCTCAGATCCGTTCACATTTTGACATCACAACCATTTCAAAGTCTCATGCAAGCTTTGTTTTCTTCAGTTGTTAAGCTTACAGTATGTATCATTTATCTAGATGTATTTGTATATTGCTTTTTACAATACACATTGTCCCAAGGGATCTTTTCTGAAAGACAAAAAAAAAGAAGAAGCAGGAAACAAGAAAAAAAAAGTAAACGTGGAAGAAGCCTATTATCAGTGTATTGTTATAAACTCAGTGAGGCATATTTTTATGGCTACAGGTTATGAGTCCATATGTTACTACTGTTGTATGAAAGAAATAGATTTCCTAAATGCATCTGTGTGTTTTCATGAATGATTTTCTTCCTCTGTAGGCAAAGTGCTGGCAGTTGTTCTCAGCTGTAAACCAATGCAACTCTGTGGTTTTGGAGAAATGTGATCTGCCGCAGTTCACTCCCACATAATGACATTCTCTCTCAAACTGCACGCGTGTCCATTCAGGAGTGTGTTTATGACAGATGTCTTGTATTTCCAGGGATTCCAGTCTGGTTGGGTTAAATGGTAGCAGAGCAGTGTTGCCGGACTGAAGTGTACATTATAATCCAAGCACACAAAAGCTGTGGGATGTGTCTGCTGGGGTGTAATGTCATGTGTGTGTGTGTGTGTGTGTGTGTCCTGCAGTGTGGGGTTACTCAGTTTTGAGTGTGACTCTGATTAGTGCGTTCGCTTTGACTGCTGTTTTTGTGGTGCCCCTGATGAGGACGCGGTTCATGCACAGGACACTCATCTATTTCATCGCTCTGTCCATCGGAACGCTGTTCTCCACCTCCATCCTGCAGCTCCTGCCTGAGGTTCAGTATCCATCCACCCGTTTCCACCCAATCAACCGCGGATCAAGATTAATCTCAAAGGGCTTTTTCCATCTTTCTTCCTTCACACAATGTTTTCTCCCTTTTAACGCAACAAAACATCCCTAACCACAGGAAAGATTTCCTCTTTCTGAAGCTCTTCCTCTCTTTGAAATTTAATTTCTCCCATGATCTTTCTATTGGTGCATTTTAAGGCCGTAGGTTTCACTATAGCTGGTGATTTTGTATTGCAGAGATGTTGACTAAAAGTCGTTTGCAATTTGCAGTTGCTAAAGAAGACTCATTAATAGATCCATTATATTCATTTATTTTAGATTTATTATATTTATGTTTTTAATTAATATTTTATGTAATTTAATTTAATTTAATTACATTTTTATTTAATTACATTTTTTTTTAGAGCTAATCATTTTGTAAATGATTACTGAATCTTTAGCCTTTTGCTAGATTTATTGAAAAGAGCCTTAAAAAGAGCCATAAATAGGCCCTGATGAAATATTTTATTGTATTTTTAAATTTAGTTTTCATTTTATTTCATAATTTTAATTTAGTTTTTATTTTACTTTACTTTTATAAATCTTAAGCTGTCTGCAGACCCTTAAAACCCTTGAATGGGCCCAGATGGAATTAGACATTTTTACAGATTTTTTTTTTTAACATTAATTTTATTTTTTATTTTTCACTTTGTTTTCCATAGAAATTTCTGTTGTTGTTTCTCTTGTATAAATTCATTTTTAAAATAGAACTTTCTATAGATTTCTGCAGGGGCTAATTTTCTGTGTTCCTGTCAATTAATAACAATGACCAATTAAAGTACAGATATTATTAAAATTGCTAGAAGCATAGAAAGCTTGGATGTAGTTTGAGAGCTGTAAAAGTTTGGCTTTTTGTGTTTGGGTTGTCAAGCCGCCATAACGTTCGATGTTTGTTCCCACACTTTTTTGGAGATGATCAGTATCCCATACCTCAAATTGTTCCACTATCCCTGAATACTGCCTTTAAAGTAGACCACTAACACTACATTTTTTCACTGGCTCATTGGTTATGGAAATCACATCTTCATTAAAAGAGCGTATCCCAGGATGCTCTCTGTTGGGTTGTTGGTACAGGTGTGTGCTGGGTGTTGATGGTTCACTGGCTGGTCAACATGAATAGGGGTGTTTTCAGTTCCTCTGTTGCCTCAGGAGTAGAGCTATATTAAGCTGTCCCATTAGCTTTGAATGACCTTCAGTGACCTCATGTCTCAAGGCATCATTTGTTCTAGAGCCCGACCGATATGGGATTTTTGGGGCTGATACCGATACCGATATTAGGGACTTAAAAAAGGCCGATATCGATATATCGGCCGATATTCTTTGTGTATATTATAGTACAGTACCAGTCAAAAGTTTGGACACTTTCCCATTTCGCTTGAATTTGGTGCGGATTCGCCACGCCATTATGGAGATATGGCCGTTCAAAGTTTTAATGGTTTTCTATAGACTTAAGCTTTAAAGCGTTTCATCCAGGTCGCCAGTAGCAAAAAATGGAGCGCGCTCTGCCGGACAAACTAAGTAATTACACCATTTCAAGCATTTTATCTGCATTATATGTTATGTAAAAAAAATGTTCATATTGGCGGCATATTCGCCAATACTGATATATCGGCGACAGGCTCATATCGGCCGATAATATCGGCTTAGCGATATATCGGTCGGGCTCTAAATATATTTATTTGAACAAAATTTTAAAAATAAAAAAAATTCAACAAAGGAGTCAGTGTCTCAATTCATAAAGACCTGTTTCACAATTGGAATCTCCTGAATGAATGATTCAATGACAAATACTTTTTTTAACGGGCAGTTGTCGCCACCTCCTGGCGGAAGAGTATAAGCGTTACAATACATACACGTGTTAAGATACTTTCATTTTGTTCGCTACTGTAGAGAATAAGTGTTTATACTCAAACTATAACTTTTATCCCAGTACTTATGTTATTTAAATGTCTGTAACACAGAAATAACGTCTCGTGCACTTTAATGCCCTTTGAATGTAACGTGTACGTTTCCTTAGAACTGGAATCATGGCGGAAGATCATGTGAAGTCCACTTCGCAGGGCACTTATGGTCGAAAAAGACAATGCTTGAATGCTGCTGCCTGAACAAGTCCTTACTGAAGCGATATATCGGTCGGGCTCTAATTTGTTCTATGATGTTCTATGATGGTCAACAGGAAGCCGCCTCCCCCTACTTCCTCTGTGAATGAAACGCAATGGATGTTAAAATGTGAACAACATACACTACCATTCAAAAGTTTGGAGTCAGTCATTTGTTTTTGAAAGAAGTTAATAGTTTTATTCAGCAAGGATGCATTAAATTGATCAAAAGTGACATCTAAGACATTTATGATTTGTTTCAGCTGTTCGTTTGAACTTGCTATTCATCAAAGAATCCAGAAAAATAAAAATTCAGCTTTGCCATCATAGGAATTGATTGAGGAAAAAAACAGAAAACAGTTCTTTTAAATTTATTATAACATTTTACAATATTACTGTTTTTACTGTATTTTTGATCAAATAAATGCTGCTTTGTTGAGCGTTGGAAACTTGGGGGAAAAAAATATTGACCCTACATTTTTGAATGGTAGTGTAACATGACTCTGAAATGTCTGATTTATTGCTGTTAATTTATTATATAAATTGACATCAAATCTGTAAATGCAATTCATGAATAAGATTTAATATTGTGTATTTTCTTCAAATGTGGTTGCATGAATTAATTTGATCATTCAGTGGCCCACAGAACTTAATTTTTCCCCTCATGGAGTAAATCTCACATTTGAGATTATGAATGTCAACCTTTCGCCTAGTATTAATTATTCTGCTGATTAATTCAAATATTCTTTCTTCTTTTTCCCTTTCTTTTCCACTTCCTGTGTTCTCTCTCTCTCTCTCTCTCTCTCTCTCTCTGTCCTCTGGTTGTTTGGTCAGTGTGGGGGTATGGTTTCCTGTGTGTGACCGTGATATCTCTATGTTCACTGGTCGGGGCGAGTGTGGTTCCCTTCATGAGGAAAACCTTTTACAAGCGGTTGCTGCTGTACTTCATAGCCCTGGCCATTGGTACTCTGTACTCCAACGCACTCTTTCAACTAATCCCAGAGGTAGAGCGGACACGTGTGCCACACAGCCAGACTGAAGACAGTTCCAGATTTCTAGAGTTTATATATGTGGAGTCTGCCGTTTAAATTACTTGCCCTCATGTCGTTCCAGACTTTGTACAGCTCTACACATTTTTAGGTTTTATCTTTCTGTATGCAAAATATTTATTCTATTTGTCTATCCCAAATGTGACCCTGGAGCACAAAAGCAGTCTCAAGTCGCTGGGGTATATTTGTAGCAATAGCCAAAAAAACTAAATTATTGATTTTTCTTTTATGCCAAAAATCATTAGGATATTAAGTAAAGATCATGTTCCATGAAGATATTTTGTAAATTTCCTACTGTAAATATATTAAAGCTTAATTTTTGATTAGTCATATGCATTGCTAAGAACTTAATTTGGACAACTTTAAAGGCCATTTCCTCAATATATATATATTTTTTTGCACCCTCAGATTCCAGATTTTCAAATAGTTGTATCTTGGCCAAATATGGTCCTATCCTAACAAACCATACATCAATGGAAAGCTTATTTATTCAGCTTTCAGATGATGTATAAATCTCAATTTCGAAAAATTGACCCTTATGACTGGTTTTGTGGTCCACGGTCACATATATTATTTTAAAAGCTTTAAGTATGTTTTTTTTATTTTTATTTTTTTTTTATGAACTTTTATTGATTAAAAATAAAATTGTGCAATGCCCAAACTGCTGTTTTCTATACAACAAATTGGATTTTGATTCACACCACCAAGCTCCAAAAAGGTAAAAAAAAAAAAAAAAATTAAGTATATATTAAAATAGAGTAGTTTAGACTCACAATACTCTGCTTACAGTACATGATCTTTAGTTTCCTGAAGCAGATAGAAGTTGGTCGGTGTGACTTTGAATCATCATGCATTCTTATTGTATGCAAAACAGCAGATTGCACATTCTGCAAAAAAATAAATAAATATATATATATCTAATTTTGTGTTCTAAATAATAAAATAGCATGTTTTGGAACAACGTGAGGGTGAGAACTGCAGAAAGAATTTTCATTTTATGTGAACATTCCCTTTAAGCACAAATATAACTCTTCCCGGCCTCAGTAGTTCTCCCCAGCTGGAAGGCTAGAAAATGGAGTATAAAACAATCAATAAACTCTATTGATCCATAGAACCTCTGTTGTTTTTGTTGTTCTCAGAGGATGTATTTTAAAATCATAGTAATGACCATTTAATGCTGATTTTTTTATCTGACTGTGAACTATTCAAATACCTTAATTTAAAACCTTTAAATGAAAGGCCCAATTTGTGAAAAATCATAAATCGGAGGTGAAAAGCCAAGCAAAATGGGGAGAAGACCTGGGGCATTAGTGAATTACACCAAGACCCAATCTAAAATAAATCCCATTCTCACTCTTCATGACAGCTTGTGAAATAACTGAAGAATGCTGTTACTCTTGATTGTTCCTGCTGTCTAGGAGAGTGATTATGGGTTTGTATTTAGATTGGATCCATACTAAGTATATTATGTACTGCACACATTCAGTTTGTTAACACATTATATGCAGCTTTCTCTACCGTTCAAAGGTTTGGGGTCTTTATTTTTTATTTTTTGTAATTTAAAATGTAATTTATTCCTGTGACGCCAAAGCTGAATATTCAGCAGCCATTTTTCCAGTATTCAGTGTCACATGATCCTTCAGAAAATATTACAATATACTGATTTGGTAAACTGAAAACTGCTTTATTTTCTTGTGGAAACTGCAGTTTTTTTTTTTTTTCAGGATTCTTTGATGAAAAGAAACGTCAAATGAACAGCATTGTAACAAAATAAGTCAAAATAAAACTTGCTTTTGATCAATTTAATGCATTCTTGCTAAATTAAAAGTATTAATTTATTTATCTTACTGACCCCAAACTTTTAAATTGTAGTGTTGTTCAGCAGTCTGTGTAGAATTTTATGATAATAAAAACACACAACAGCTTGTGATTCCAGGTTAATAACAAATGCTGTGTTATTTTAAATTAGTTTGAATTGTATTGACATCATAAAACATGCATGTTTTTTCTGTATATAGGCCTTCGGATTCAACCCCATGGAGGATTATTATGTGCCCAAGTCTGCTGTCGTGTTTGGAGGATTCTACCTGTTCTTCTTTACAGAGAAAATCCTGAAGATGATCTTAAAGCCAAAGGACAGGGTGAGCTTGGACTAATGGTCTGTTAGAGTAAACCATGAAACAGTTGCTTTAGCAAACAGCTTTATCTGACATCGTCATTGTGATAACAAAAGGATGTTATTTTTAGAACTTTTTATAGTTCAAACTAAAGCAATAAGCCCCTAGAAGCTGTTGTTTACAGTGAATTTATAACAGCTAAGGGGCGTTGTTAGGTACGACGCGAAGCGGAGTTATAAAGTTATAGAGTTATAAAGTGGAGTTTATAACACCCTCTTAGCTGTTATAAATTCACTGTAAACCACGGCTTCACGGGGCTTACTGCTTTTATAAAACAGTTACTCCATATACGTAGTACGCAGGGATTGAAATTAACTTTTTCACTCACCAGGCAATTTGGCTACTACATTTTTAAGTTACCGGCCATTCATAACTTCTACTAGCCACAAAAATAAAAAAGACAGAAATAAACCAACAGTTTGAGGCCATCGACACTGGGCGTGACAAAGCACCTGTTGCAAATCATATTGTGTCAGTACTTAGGGGTGTGCGATATTGACAAAAAACAGCAGTGATAGGAATTAATCTTTTCCAATAAGTTTAAATGGATTTTTACCTTTTATGGGCTTTTTTACCTTTTTCTAAAAGTGTACATCATCTTTTGAGTCAAATTCTTACATTTAATCAGTCAATTATAATAATAATACATTTAGGCTTTTACTAAACAAATGAAATTAGTATCAATAATCTTTGCAGAAGTTGCGTATGAAGTGGTATTTAGATGCGTTTACATATGTTAGCTTAGAGGGACATGGAATGCTTTAACCTGCAGTTACAAATGCATAAATAATGTTTTGATATTTTAAACATGAAATGTTGAATACTGATATTTGAAATTATTTAAAAAATGAAAAGATGCTTTAAATGTGAAATTAAAACCGCCAGTAGGTGGCAGCAAGTCACTGTTAAGTGAGTCATTGCGATTGAACCGAATCATTTAAACGGTTGATTCATTCAAGAACGAAACAACGTCATGTTGGTCAGAGACGCAAAACTGTGCTGTGGCTGTGTTTGGAATGTTCTTTGTTGGTGAAATAGCACAGAAATAGCGCAAAAACAGCCAATATGGTGTCTAAAACGTAAGTCTCTTGATATTAACTTATTGTTTATTGAACTGTTGTATAAAATCAATATCAATATCTGATTTTTTTTTAGGAAAACACGGCACTCTTCGTGTGATATTGATTAACTATATGAAATTATATAAATATATACATTTTCTGCCCCCTTATCTTGAATTATGTGATCATTCTTAATGCATATTAATAGACTGAATCATGCAGTGAAAGAACCACTCTAAATAACTTACGAAATGTAACCCACCAAATTGGCTAGTGATTTGACAGCGTTACCCGCCACAGCTGATTTTTACCCGCATATGGCGGGTTGGCGGGTGTTAATTTCAAACCCTGGTAGTACGGTTTCACAAAATAAAACAGAGCAAATGAAGTGTAATGATATTAATAAAAACAGTATTCTCCCACCAAATAATGTAGTTCCTCAGAAACAGTTGTGGTTGCAACAAAGTGGTTGCCGAGCAACACACAGACGTAAACAAAGGTGTATGCTTGTAAGGAGTAATTTACAACAGCTTCGAATGTGGCTCAACCAATCAGAATCAAGCACCGGAACTCTCCGTTTTATAGTCGTGAAGTTTTGAATTTGGAATGTGTGAGCAGTGTGTACAATATGTGTGAGTCTGGGTTTAGCTCCTCAGGGGCTGTACTGTTCATTTCTAGTATGCTTTGAAAGATGATGTGAAAAAAGACAGGGAGCCAAAATCTTAATAGTCATAAGAATATATTATCCATTTTGTTGTAGTCTGTAACTGTTTGGCCAGAGCCAAATCCTTTTACATGACTCAGAAGGTTTATAATTGAACTTTTTGCTGTTGATGTGTTGTAATGCAGCGCCCTCTAGTGGAGGATTTTCTTTGCAAGCTTATTCACTCACTCTCTCTTTTTGTTGTCTGTTTGCTGCTCGCATTTCTTCTCATCTAATGTTAGGGATAATGTTCTTCTCTTTTGTTAGGGAGGGCATGGCCACGGCCACAGTCACTTTCCTGCGGCGCGCTATGCCAGCTCTAATGGCGATTTGGAGGATGGTGTGATGGAGAAACTGCAGAATGGAGAGGCTGGCGGAGCATCTTTACCCAGAGCCGAAGGAGATGTCAGAGGACTCGGAGAAGACGACAAAATGCTCAGCACTGGCCAGACAGTACAGGTCAGGAATAAACCAAACTACAAATTTCAGTTCACAAAATTATTTCATGTTTTTAGAACAAATGTGGGAATCTGTAGTTTCAGTTAATTGGGTTTAAGTGACTATAAGCCTCACTCACAATTATATCCCTAAAAACCTACTTGAAATCAAAATTGACCCTATTATGTTTTCTCATTTATTTTTGTCAATTATGAGTTTCCAGCTTATAAAAACGTTCCATGTCTTTGTTGAATGTATAATTACAGCTTGGAAACTCTCAATTTAATGAATGCGCTGACTTTTTTCGTTCATCTGTTAATAATGACGTCATGTAAACGAAACCAAAATATAATAAATGTGTTTCAAGAGCATATAGATGTGAATAATATCATAGTCATTTTGCTGTCATCAAAAAAAAACTACAAAGCCAGTCATGTTGTGAGAGTTGCCATAGAAACATTTTTCTGAGTCTGAGGACGTGAATAGCATCTCAGGGTTGTCTTTTTGTAATCGCCATAATTTCAGCGCGACATGATTCATCAGTGCGTGCTAGGACAAAATTATTGTTTTTGTAACTTTGATTAAAATGCAACATAATCTCCATCTAAAACAGCTTTTTCATATCTGAGCTACAAGAGCCCTGCAGAAGCTAAAATAATCTTTCATGATTCAATCAAATTCTAATGGATAAAATGAAGACTACATTACACTCAAAAATCATATTTAATGGTGCGGACATTCCCAAAGTTGTTTCATCTGATTTTGGGTGCTATTCCTTTTGAAAGGGGATGCAAATCGAGAAAATAAAAATCGTTTGTAACAAATAACAAAAGTCTTTACTGTCACTTTTTAGCAATTCAAAAAAAGGAGGACAAAAAACATACTGACCTCTATTGTTATGAATTTTTTTTATTTTGAATAAATGCTTTTCTTTTTAGCTTTTTATTCATCAAAGAATCCTGCAAAGTTATCACAGGTTCCAAAACATATTAAGCAGCACAACCATTTCCAGCATTCATAATAAATCAGCATATTAGAATGATTTTTGAAGGATCATGTGACACTGAAGACTGGAGTAATGATGCTGAACAAGTTACATTTTACAATATATTCACATTTTAAATGTAATAAAATTGTGCATTATAAAACGGAGAGTTCCTTGATTCTGATTGGCTGAGCCGCATTCGAAGCTGTTGTAAATTACTCTACAAACACACACCTTTGTTTACTTCTGTCTGTTCCTCGGCAACCACTTTGTTGCAATCACAACTGCTAACAACGCCCCTTAGCTGTTATAAATTCACTGTAAGCCATGGCTTCACGGGATTTATTGCTTTAGTATTACTGTTTTTCCTGCGTTTTTAATCAGATGAATGCAGCATCAGTGAGCATAAGAGAAAAAATTCTTAGTCCAAACGTTTGAAAGGAAGTGTGTTTATTTGGTCTGTATTTGTGTCCCTGCCGCAGGACTCTCAGAGTTCGGGTGGATGTTATTGGCTGAAGGGCAGGGCGTACTCTGACATCGGCACTCTGGCGTGGATGATCACTCTGAGCGACGGTCTGCATAATTTCATCGATGGTTTGGCTATCGGAGCCTCCTTCACTGCTTCTGTGTTTCAGGGCATCAGTACGTCGGTGGCGATTCTGTGTGAGGAGTTTCCACACGAGTTGGGTGGGTGTTAATGTCTCTGTGATGTGACTGATCCAAGATGGCCCCGAGTCTGTCATGTAAATGCTCTGCTGCATCTGTGTGTCCAGGTGATTTTGTAATCCTGCTAAACGCTGGCATGAGCATCCAGCAGGCGCTCTTCTTTAACTTCCTGTCAGCGTGCTGCTGTTATCTGGGCATGGGCTTCGGCATCCTGGCTGGGAACAACTTCTCTCCTAACTGGATCTTTGCTCTGGCCGGAGGCATGTTCCTCTACATTGCGCTGGCTGATATGGTAAGAATGGGATGCTGTTCATTTGCTGAGTTTTGAAAGGCTTTGGTATTGCGTTTGTTTTTATTGATTCCTAAAGGTGGGTGTCTAAGATCAGTGAAGTGTGAAAGAGGTTATTACTAGTGCTTTTTTTAGGGATCCTGTAGGTCTTAAAAAGTCTTAATTTGCCCTTCTGCAATTGAAGGCCTTAAAGTTCCCCTGTAGTCAAATATTTTATCCCTTAAAACTTATCTTTGATCATCAAAATGACATATTTAAATGTTTTTTTCTTGTGAAAATAATTTTCTCATGCCTTAAAATAGCTTGAATGCAACTCTACACCCTTTCCTCATTTACTATACGCTGATGAATATGAATATGCAAATTAGCCCCGCCTCCACTCAGTCACACCAGCCAGCGCCTCCTGATCCACTGAACTGTAGTAACC